GTTACTAGAATTACTGCTTTGGTTAAAGCTTTTCAAAAAGTTAAAATGCACAGTGTACATAAAGAGTAAGTCTCTTACAATAGCTGGTATGCTGCATCAAGTTTCACAAAGTGCCTCTAAAGTCCTAACGCTTTAAATTGTAGTAAGCTGCAGTTCTGTTTCAGCAAAGATTTATTGAATTAAACTGGAATCGACCAAAACCTGGTAAGAACTATGCATAAGAGAATTATATGTGCATAATATATAAAAGAAACTGTACATGGGATATCCCTTCTCCAACCTGTTATGAGACTTATGAAACAACATGTAACATATCTTTTTCATTCAGCTGATACTTGTAACACTTCCAGAACAACATCTGGGGTGTTGACAACCTAGATTATTTCATGTTTCCCCTCACATTCACAAGGTAATCATGATCAGGGTTATGTGTATCTCTGTGGGGCATGAAGAGCACAGATCTCAGCTTCCACAGATCCTTGATTGACCAGCACTATCCAGATCATAGTGACAGCATGGTCAGTTCTCAAAGGACTGCCACAAGGTTATGAGACTGAAAATATGACAAAAATACAACAAAACTGTTTATTCAGGGGTCTCTTTTTCCTTCCCCCAGGCATATTCAGATTTTGGAAAACTGACAGGTTTTTCCTCAGATATTGTAAAACCTTCAATTTTTGTGTTTTTAAAGCATCCTTTTACACCATCAATTCGGCAAGTTTCCAGGACTTGACATTCCTTGCCACACTCATTTCTATTACCTTCTCCTAAGACCCCTACGAAGGCACACTGATATCCTGTTGCATGTAATGCAACCTGATCTTATAAGCCAAAGATCCGAGCTTCATTAAGGAAATGACTCACTTGAAATGCAGTTATGTCAAATTCAAAGTACCAAGAAAACGCTGAAGCTAAGAGCGCAAATGAACTGGGGCAAAATTAACAGAATGAATCGCCAATTCATCAGCCGAAAGGGTTATCGGTTTTCCTGGAGGATACCAGGAAGTTAAGAATGAAACGCAGCCCTTTCAGACAGGCCAGAGCGTATCAACCACGAAACTTTTCTAAACACTTGTAAACGCATTCCCACCAACTGAACTCCAGACACATAGTAAGTAAATCTACTGCTCGGTAGCGCGGTAACCAAACTGTTGAGGCAATTACAGGTCCCAAATCCGCTCCAACTAGGTTTCCTGCAACCGGTGTTACAGACAAGACAGGTTCCTGGGCTGACATTCACTCACAACCGCAGGGCCCAAATGCACACAACGCGAGGCGAGGTGCGGAGTTGGGGACCGGCTCTGGGAAGATGCAGCAGAGCGGTCCTGTTTGCACGGGGAGCGTCGGGGAAATGGAAACCGCTTTCGGGTGCAGTAAGTAGGCTGCGGCCTGGTGAAGGCGCAGGGCCGCGGCGCCGCGGGGATCCAGGTGAGGCCCGGACGACGTGGCGGGAGGGAGGCGCCGCGGCCGCCGCCTACCGACCCCGGGCCTGCGGGAGGCCGCGCGCCTCCATCCCTCGGCCCGCCCGGGACCTACCGTGGAATTCGAAATGGCCGATGCTCTGGCCCTGGGCGTCCCGGGCCGCAGCGCTGCTGAAGCTGCCCCGCAGGGTCTTGCCCTGGCCGCCCTGCGGCCACCAGCAGCTGCACGTGAGGGCTACCGCCAGCAGCCGCAGGCCGCCCATGCCCGCAGCCCGCTCCACCGCGCGCCGGGCAACCGCCTAGGGCCTGCCTGCAGCCCACGTCGGCAGCGGGGGGCGGGGCGGCGGCCGCGGGGGCGGGGCGCTGGAGAGGGACGGCCAATGAGACGCGGGGCCTCCGCCACGGGCCCGAGACGGCAGCCAATCATCGGCCGTGGCGGGCGGGACGCGCAGCGAGGCCGGTCCCCGCGCTCCCCAGCCGTGCCGCTAGTTCGCGCCTGTTTCGAATGCAGCCCTCCGGGGATGCTGTTCGGGGACGCCCGCAACCATCACCCCAGCAACCCTCGCGCCTTCCGCCACTCACTGCGCCCTCGCGCGCCTGTCATTGACGTCCGAGGCGAGAAATGCGTGGCCGAACGATTGCTGTCGGGAAAACTCCCTCGAAGTTGCAAAAACGGGCTTTGCTTTTTCTCTCCCGCGCCTATGCCCACTTGAATGCTGCGAGGACACTTCACCTGTCCAGACTGAAAAGCCTAACTTCTCTGGGCACCAAACCGGCGTTTCCGCCCAGGAACAGAGTTCCCAGTCTAGTTGAATTATGTCATCACCCAGCTGAAAATGACAACGACCACCTTCATTACACGTCTAATCAAATATTCATCGGCCTGTCTTCTGGTGATGGTTTTTAGGAAGCAGCAGCCACTATACTTAATTGGCTGGTGTCAATGACCTCCCTCCATCCAGTATTAACTCTACTTAACTACCGTCCATCTCTGACTTTCAAGTTACAGAATGCTAAAAACAAAACAAAACACCATTTCCCAGCATCATTTTCTTTCAAAGGGGGTTTATCGCTTTTAGTACACAACCCAAGCTCTTTAGAATATGGGTTCATTTTTTTTTTATTTTATAATTTAATTTTACATATCAGCCACGGATTCCCCTGTCCTCCCTCCTCCCACCCTCCCCCTAACACTCCCCGCCCCATCTCCTGAATGTGAGTTCAAATATTTCAAATGTCCATCTCTCAACTAATGCTCGTCTTTAACACTATCAGTTTCATAAACACCCCAAGCCTCTGTGCTGATGAGATTTGCGAATCCATTGGCTGCAGCGCTTCTTACTCGAGGACACCTCCGTGGCTTCACTTTGTTTCATTTTTTTCTAACATACTTGAAGAAGCCTTCCTGACACCCCGAGTCTGAGTTGGGTTTCAGTGGAATACCTCACTCCCCTGTCAGGTCACTTACAATGCACTGCTGTAAATGACTTCCCGTTCTTCTGACTTTCTCTATTGTAAGATGCAGAAGGTCAGAGTTTGTGACAGTCTTGATGAAAGCAAACGTAGGAATCCCAAATTATTTCATAAATAACTGTGTACAAGTAATTTTCACTCAAAAAGATGTTTTTATAACATAAAAGCACGTGCTCACAACATACCTCACCCTTTAAATAAAGAAACCCCATCTCTTATCAGCATTTTCAGCACTCCTGGCTTCCCAGGGGAATAAGGGTATTAATATTTTAAGACTTTTAAAAATTACCCTAGTTCTTTTTAAATACAAGTAATTTTCATGCAGCTTAGAAAAACATACACAGTCAAGTGTATAGAGCAACATTTTACATTCTGACTTCCTAATTTCCTTGCCAATTACCCAACACTGAAAGGTGGCTTTGTTAATATTTCAGGTGGATCTTTTCAGATAAGCTTCTGCAAATACATGTGGTATGAAACTAAATTTGCCTAGAGACTGCCCACGGTATTTTGAATTTCTGTGTAGCAGCTGCAAGCTAACTTAGGGAGCTTCAGCTAACCAACAGACTCCCAACTGATCGATTATGCCTGGATGTAGAAGATGCATTGTAACATGGGTCTCTTTGAGAAGGCACAATTAGATCTATAACCTGTTAAGTCTTTCCTAAACATTATCTTTTTATAAAAAAGATCTGTTAATTTTTTTTTTTTTGTACAGGAATTTGCTTGCATGGTATTTATGTGCCATAAGGGTACTGTGCCCATGGAGGCCAGAACAGGGCTTCCAATACCCTGGAGCTGGGATAACAACAGATGGTTGCTAGCCATCATGTTGGTGCTGGGAATCCAACCTGGCTCCTCTGAAAGAGCAGTGTGTGCTCTTAACCACTGGGCCATACTCCCCCCCCCCCTCGCCTTTTTCCATACATACTGACTTCCTATGTGGCGTGGTGGTGCTCTCTGAACCTTTCTTCCTGGGTGTTGCCTCGTTTTTCATTGTTTGCTAAAATAAAACTCTAGTAAATTTAGCTTGTCTAAACTTTTAGTAGTATTATTGATACGCCAAGAACAGGGGTTGGGTAGTTCCTGAAGGAAAAGCAGAACGCCGGCTTTGACTACTGTCAGAACTTTTCTTTCGTCTCGTGTTTTTCTTCTTGGTCAGTAATGCCGCTCTCCCACCAAAGACAGCCTTTTGACGCCTCTGTTCACCTGAAAGAGTATGGCTGCCAACCATTCCCAATTGGGAGAGCCTCAGAATTCATGAAGAGCAAGCAGACTACATCAGAACAGTTCTAATATACCAGGAGCAATGAGCAATTTCATCATGAACCTACTTGTTGACGAATGTTTGTTCTGACAGATCTGGTCCCTTACCTCCACAGAGCAGAGACCGTGAGCAATCATATCATTGACCTCTGTGTTGATGAACACTAAGAAAGAGGACAATAAATGGTTCTGCACGGTTGGGGTGTCCGTTGCTGTTTAAATTGAGTCGAGGAAAGACTCCAATAGTCTTGGCACTCAAACTGAGAACTGAAGGAGTATGGGTCAACACTAACAGACAGTCCATGAAAGGGCTTCTGGGCCAGGGCAGAAGCAGCCTGGTAATACAGTCAGGGCGGGGAGGAACATGATGGGGCAGAGTGAGCAAACGGGAGAAGAGAGTAAGGTCCAGCAGGGGAATCTACCAAACATCTTTACTATGATTTCAAGCAGCCTTCACAGTCTGTGATAAGATTAACAGTGGATCATAACTTTGCAGTGCAACTTCCCATTCGCATGCCGCATACATCCCCGAGGTTTCTGCTCGGGGGGTGTTGGCACTTGAAGTACAAAAATGCAGACATCCATTGGTAACCCCGAACGTCCACGAATCTCCCGAAGTAGCCCACGCCGGTTCCACTGGCCTAGCGAACCTTCCAGACCTAGCTCCCCAGCGACCCCGATTTCCCGGCCGCTCGGGACCGGCACAGAGCCTGCGCCTGCGCAGTGTCACTGCCGGCCCCGGCCCCGCCCCTCGGGCCGCTGTCAGGCAGAACCCGGAAGCTGCAGCCGACTTCCTTTGAACGTGTCGGGGGCGGGGACGTGTCGCAAAACGTCGTGGTGGTACTTGCCCGGGGTCTCGGGCTCCGCGCTCTACGGCGCGGGCGCTGCTGCCGAGCTGGAAGATGTCGGCGCCGGGCCGGGAGGAGCGCCCTGGTCCTCCCGGCAGCTACGCGAAGCGGGTCCTGGTGACCGGGGGTGCCGGCTTCATGTAGGTAACGGGGCTGGTGGCGAAGCGTCTCCCCGCAAGCCTAGCCGTTCCCCGCGGCGCTCCGCGTCTCCGCAGGCACGGGGGTCGGCGGCTTGGAGGATGCAGTGCTGGGTGGGTCTGAGTGCACGGCCGGGGCCGCCCGCCCGGCTCCCCTCGCTTTCCGGGCAGCCCAGAGAGGCTGCTTTGAAACTGCGACGGCTTTACCCCCTGCCCCGCAGAAAGAGGAACTCGGGAGTGCCGTGGGAGCCAGCGTCCGCGTACGTGCCCGGGTGGTGTCTTAGCAGCTGTCACGTCCCGAGGTGCACACGCTGAACTCTTTGCATTTTTCTTCAGGCTCCCTCTGCCCAGCCTCCCACCAGCCCGCCCCAAAGCACGTCTCGACACGATGTGGGATCGTGGTGGGACTCACTTTTTCTTTTAAGAACACGTTGACAAATCCTCTGTGACAAGCGGCTTGTGCGAGGCTCGTCCCCACATTCCGTGAGCCTGCCCTTTTTCTTTGTGCCCAAGGTTATCCTTGGTTGAACTTGTCACCACTGTCGCACTGTCCCCCGACTGTGTTGGGCCTAATACTGCGTTCTTTTGCTTAGAGCACTGCTACTGTGCCTCCCTGGATGGATCTCCCTGCGTTTTCTTTAGACTCCTTAAAGCGCGTTCCTCGCACAGATGCCACTGTTTTTAAGAAAGTGAGATGCTGCTGCCACATAGGATTTTATACTTGTGGTTTCTGTGAGACCTGTAATAAAGTCCAAAATCTTTATCATATCTAGAAGACTCATGTGCTCAAGCCCTGCTTTCCAACCTAATCTCTTGCTTTTCTGTATTTGCTACAACCCCCTCAGGGTTCTTGGACCACAGTAGGTTAGTGCCCCTTCCTGACTTGAGACATTTGCACTTCTTTATTTTCTTAGGCCATTTGCACTATTCAGTTCAGGCATTAGTTTACCCACATATCAACTTAAGAGTCCTTACCGGACCACCCTAGGTAACTGACCCACTTAACACCACCTGAAATAGCAGTGTTTGTGTTTACTTGTTTATGCCCTTGTCCCTTTTCTAGAGTATGAGCTCTGAGGGCAGACTGATGTTCATGAAGCACCCGCAGAAAGGAAGGTCTGGTCCATATTATGAAGGTCTTCAGTAATAGTTGAGTAGATGAGTGCATGAATAATAAACAGGAGACTCTTCCACCCTCATGGAACGCAGTGTCTCCGGCTTGAAGATACAGAGATTCTCGTTCACTGCATTAACATTTTAAATCCAACAGTCACTTTGCTAAGGGTACCAGGAAGCCACGTTTCACTTAATGAACAGGAGTGTGGATGTGGGGAAGTGCCTGTACTTCATGGAAGGCCTGGTCCACAAGAATGTCCTAGAAAGTGAGGGAAACGGCCTCCTCACAGTTGGTCAATGCTTGCCATTACGCCTGAGAACCCAAAGTGTTTAAAATATCTGGCAGCTCGTTTTACTGAGATAGCTTCATGTCAGGGTCTGCCCACTGATACTCAGGAAGCCCTGTCAGTACCAAACTTCAGGATGGTGCCAACTACTGTTAGCCTAGGAAGCCTTTGTTCAGTCCAGGACCCTCCCGAGATTTCAGGCTTACACAGCCAACTTCTAATATCAAGAGAGCAGTTGCAGAGGTCAGTATAAACAGGCAAATGACGGTGTTTATGCTGAAGTAATATCTGTATAATTACGTTGCAGCTCCTGAAAGGGCACATTGGACCCTCAGTGTACTTGCTCTGACTAGACCTTACATTTTTCTTTTTTTTTTTTTAAATCTTTTTTTCTCCATTTTGACTTTATTTACATGAGTGTTTTGCCTACTTTTTTTAAATTAATTTATTTTTTGTTTTGTTTTGTTTTTTGAGACAGGGTTTCGCTGTGTAGCTGTGCGCCTTTCCTGGAACTCACTCTGTAGCCCAGGCTGGCCTCAAACTCACAGAGATCCACCTGCCTCTGCCTCCCGAGTGCTGGGATTAAAGGTGTGCGCCACCACCGCCCGGCTTAGACCTTACATTTTTCATGCTCATACTCACAGCTTTCATGGGCAGCATCATTTGGTTAAACTGGTTTTTTCTTTATTCTCCAGACCAGAAAGTTATACATGTCACGAGGAGGATGTGAGAGTTTGTTTATAGATTCTGTTGAGAAGGTGGGTTAAAAGTGTATATGTGTGGTGTGTTACATCATTGCTTTTGTATTGGAAAAGTGTAATGTTATCTAGCTCAGGAAAACTTTTGAAGAGTCTAGGAAAGTAAACATTTGTCACTCATAAAGTTCTTTTCTCTTTGTAGTGCATCCCATGTGATTGTCTCCTTAGTAGAGGATTATCCCAACTATATGATCATAAATCTTGACAAGGTAAGTGTTATAAAAAATGAGCTTCATGTACTACAATTAGACCTCCTTCTGGCTTCATCATTAAAAAGTGCCAGGGAGCTTTTAAGAAGTAGTGCCAGAGAACTAAAGAGTACTAGCATTGGAATAGAATTAAAACCAGTTGCAGTGGCCCTTGCCAATAATGGGGACACTAGGGATGTAGAGGCAGGAGAATTAGAACTTCAGGGTCATCCTTGAACCATATAGCAAGTTCAAGGCCAGCCTAGGAACACATGAGATCCTGTCTACAAATAAATAACCAAAAAGCAGTGAAATTAATTGAGTCTTGGACAGTTTTGTAGTGATGGTTGACGTCTCCCTGAAGAATAGAATTTTTTAGTTTAAACAAAAGATACAAATGGTTCTAATTTCATAAAATACAATGGTAAAGTGTACAGCCAGAGAACTAATCGTTAACTGTTGGCATATTTTTTTCTGTCTTCACGTTATATGAACAGGTAAATGGAATTCTTTCTCATTTCATTTATTTATTTGGAGGCAGGGGCACATGAGTTATAGCTTGCATGTAGAGAGACCATAAGACCACTTGTGAGGGTCAGTTCTTTCCTTCACTGTGTGGCTCCCAGGACCAGGCGTTGTGACAAGTACCTTTACCCACCAACCCATCTGTTCTGCTCTAAAGGTAGAGCTCAGACTGCCCTCAAACTTCGATCCTCCCACATCTGCCTCTTTAGCAAATCCTCCTGGTATGCTAATTACCACAACCATCAGAGGCAGGTGGATCTCTGTGGGTTCAAGGGTACATAGTGAGACCCTGTCTCAAATTACATAAATGAAAATAAAAAATAATAAATGATGGGTGTGTGTGTCTGTCTGTCTGTTTGTCTGTCTGTCTGTCTGCATGTGAGTATGTGCACATGAGTGAAGCTGCCCTCAGAGGCCAGAGATGTTAGAGCTGGAACTCTAGAACGAGTTACGGACAGTTGTGAGCCACCAGATAGGTGGTAGGAACTAAACTCTGAATAGCAGCTAGTGCTCTTAACTTCAGAGCCATCTCTCTAGCCCCAAGCAGCTCTTTTAAAAATGTATGCACTGATTTACCGTGTTAGAAGAAGAGGTGTAATGAATTATAGATGTATAAAGCAGGTGTTACTTTATCTTCAATCGATAGTTCCTTTTCTGTCAAGAACTAAATGTTTTTAGTTTTTAGCCACCAGTGCTGAAGGTGAATTTGAGCAGGAACACTTTTAAAGAGAGATTTGTAACAGCGTTTCTCTTGGAGTTACTTCTTCTGAAAATTAATAGTGACCTGCTTTTACTTTTAGGATGTCAGAAACTTTAAAGGTGTAAAATACAGGAAGCCTTTTTAGAAGATATGTTCTTGTATCGGTGTTTTAACATTTGTGACCTTCAAACTAACTCGACTTGTTATAGAAAGAGCTGATCTTGCTTTGTGTGCTGTTTCTTCCCCACCATGTTCCCGTGTTTTAAGCTGGATTACTGTGCAAGCTTGAAGAATCTGGAACCTATTTCTAACAAACAAAACTACAAATTTATACAGGTATGGAAGCTTTGTTGCCTCTTAGTCATGCAGAAACCATAATGCTTTATGTTACAAACATGTTAAAGATCAGATAGTTTCCAGAATACTACATGATATAGAGAGTTCTACTTGTAGATTGGTATCACATACAAAACTGCATATAAGTTTTGGTACCATGGCAAATCTGTGAATAATTGGCAAGATACGTGAATTGAAAATACATACAAGCATCAGAGTAGTATAATTTTAGTTAGTGGTGATAAAACATACTTCCCAATATTATTCCAGTTTTTATGCTTATTTTACATGTATTTTAGTGTAGCTCTCTGAAAGGTTTCTTTCTTTTTTTTTTTTTAATTTATTTATTTATTATGTATGCCTTTAAGCCAGAAGAGGGCACCAGATCTCATTACAGATGGTTATGAGCCACCATGTGGTTGCTGGGAATTTAACTCAGGACCTCTGGAAGAGCAGCCAGTGCTCTTAACCTCTGAGCCATCTCTCCAGCATGGTTTATTTTTCTTAGTGCTAAAAAATTTCTTTGTGATCTTAGCTTTACAAGTATGTGATAGAAGTCAGCACAGTACTTAACAGAAGTTGGTATTCAACAAAATTATTGCTTGACATATTTGCAAAAATACTTCGAATTAAATACATATGTTCTAAGGTGCTGAAGAACCACATTGTTATTATACTTGCCTGGCTGCTTGGTTGACTTCAATTTTTTGTTGAATTCAGGGGTGAGAAGTGGAGGGCTGCTAAAGTAACCTGGCTATTGCGGATGCGAGCGCTCTTGAAACCTCACCTGTCCATGTTTACCTCTCCATGCAGGGTGACATTTGCGACTCTCACTTTGTGAAGCTGCTGTTTGAGATGGAGAAAATAGATATAGTCCTGCATTTTGCTGCACAGACACATGTAGGTAAGCACTGTTTTATGCTGTAGTTATGACTGGCCCCTTCTTTCCCTAGTGAATAAATTCAAAGTCCAGGAATAGGGATGAATAAACAGGAACATAACACAGTCTTTGGAAGAGGGTACACCCGCTGTGCCCAAACAGCGCTTGTCCCCATGGAGTCAGGGCTTGTTTCCCTTTGTTTGTTTTTAACAGGGGCTCTGGGAACCCACTCAGCCCTCCTCCCTGGTGGAGTGGCACTCACTTCCTTGATTGAACCACACCCAGCCCCAATAATTGGGCTTTCCACAGATCACTTTTTAATTCATGTGTATTGAAATGGGACACTAAAAATGGCTTTAAAAAGTTTTGAGTTGAGTCAAATTCAGACTGATGGTTATTTCTGAAAGGAAGGAATAAGATGAGCTTCAGTTTTGTTTCATGTTCTTCTTGTGTAGCTGTAGCTTTCTCCAGCCCCATGTTGGAACGCCAAAATGTAGTTGGTTTTGCTCTGTAGCTCTTTTGGGAGGCCCACCACTCAGTACCAAATAAATCACAGACAGAGGGTTATTCTTAATTATAAATGCCTGGCTTTAGCTTGGCTTGCTTGTGCTAGCCAGCTTTTCTTAACTTTAAATTACCTCATCTACATGTTGCCTCTGGGTGTTTTCCTTTTCTTCTGTAATCTTACTTTCACTCTTACTCCATGGCTGGCTGGGTAGCTGGGCCCTAGCATCCTCCTCTCCTTGTTTTCTTACTCTTTCTTCTTTTCCTCCCAGATTTCTCCTTCTATTTACTCTCTCTGCCTGCCAGCCCCACCCATCCTTGCTCCTGCCTCGCTATTGGCCATTCAGATCTTTATTAGACCATCAGGTGTTTTAGACAGGCACAGTAACACAGCCTCACAGAGTTAAACAAATGCAACATAAAAGACTGCAACACATCTTTGCATCATTAAACAAATGTTCCACAGCATAAACAGATGTAACCCATCTTAAAATAATATTGTACAAGTGGCAGTATACCGGTTAACATGATCTGTACCACTTTGTGCATTTGAGATGCTGTGTTGATAATTCAGTTGACCTTTCCCCTGGGACATACAACACACATCAGAAGAACTGGAAGTGCAGTTAAGTAAGTGGCAGTCACGTGGCCACATGCTGCCCTCACCATAGCAGGAGGCAGCGTTGCTGCGGAGCCGGCGGGCAGAGGCTGCTGCCTCCCGCTTCCTGCAGACGCAAACCTGTCTTTCCCTCTGCTCTTCTCTGTGGTTTTGATGACTGATATTTAGCCCTGAAAGTTTTATTTTTGTTTGGGCTATTTTAAAATCTTCTACTATGTGTGTACTTGTGCACATACTCACACGTGTACACAGACATGTAGGTTTTTATAACATTTGTCAGTTTCCATGTGTGAAATGCTGGGTAGTTGGGTGTGGGTATAGTTTGTTCCTTCTCTGCTGTCTCAATATTCCAATTTAAGAGAGCTCCACAGTTACGTTTTGACTCTGGTTAGACATTGGGTTACGTGTGCTCCTGGGCAGTGTTATGCAGCAGTGCTGTGAACTTTCTTGTCCACGGATCATGTCCTTATAACTGTACCGTCTGTCTGATGTCTGTGCAGGGTCCTGAATAACGGGGCTGCAGCAAACAGTTTGCAGAGAAGCCGTGCTGACTCTTGTCAGGTGATCGTCAGTTTTCCAAAGTCAGCGCTGTGTGGCGGATGGACTCCCATTTGTATGAGAGTCTAGTTTATATTTTTCCAAGTTTCTAGTGAGAGCATGTGTTTTTATGGTTTTTGATAATTTAAATTTCTTTTATAAAATACTGTTGAAATCATTTGCCCATTTAAAGAAAAGCCTATTAACTTTTTCATATTGAAGTATCTTAATGAGAGATATTTTGGTAAGAAAAATGAGAAGTATTGATCTCTTGTGTGTTCCTGGAGAACTGAACCTTTATGTTATCATGTTCCATATGTGTGTGAATTGTCTGCGTGTGTGTGTGTGTGTGTGTGTGTGTGTGTGTGTGTGTGTGTATGAACATGTACATGTTTGTGCAGGTAGATGTTCCTGTGTAGGCACATGTAGAAGCCAGAGGAAGATGTGAGATGTTGTGCTCTGCCTCACTCCTGAGACAGAGTCTCTTACTGAACCTGAAACTCACTATTTGAACCAGGCTGGGTAGCCAAAGAGCTTCTGGGATCTTGCTGTCCGCACTCCCCCGTTGGGGATTACAGACGTGTACAGCATGTGGCGCTGGGTTTGAACAGTAGCGAGCACTGGGACCCACTGAGCCATCTCCCAGTTCTGTAGTGATCTTCCTTCCTTCCTTGGTGACGTGGGTTGCCTTGAGCTCCTTTCAGTAGACATGAATATGGCTGTGTCGTCTGGTGATGTCTTTTCTGTAGTTTTGGTTCCAGCTCTCCTCTGCCTTCGTGAGTTAGCTTGTGCACGCTGGGCAAGCATTCTATCACTGCCTGCATCTTCAGCCTAGATTCTGCTTCTTTTGAAACAACTGTTTGATCGTCCATGATATTTACTGCTTGCTACCTATTAGAGCCTGGGCTAAGAATTGTTTTTCTTTTCTTTTCTCACTGCTCGTTTGGAAAGCACATAGTCTGTGCTTACATAAGGTGATTAACTTTCAGAGTGTAAAGTCCGGACCTCTGCGCTCCTCCCAGATCATGGCCTTTAGCTTGTTTATGCCCAGCCTTGTTTTTAGCTAAGCTTTAAGTCTGTTGTGTTTCATTTTGTCTTTCAGTCCCAGTAGAGATCAGTCTTACTATTTTCAGTAGTACTATTTTGTGTGGTCAGGATTTGTGTATATCTGAGCTTTGGCAATGATGATTTTCTCATTGTCTTTTTTTCCCCCATTCCTATGTTAAATCAGAATTTAAGAGCAGGTTCTCTGTATCAGTTCTTAGGGCACCTTGAGATTCAGCTGATGGTGGCAGCCAGCTCCGCTGCCGCATTCTTTTTACCTGTGCACTGGGTTCTGTGGTGATGACTTGGTTTCTTTTCTTCAAAGTATCAGTATGAGTTCCTGGATTTTAACACGGCTTTTGTCTCGTGTTGTGTTAGTCATTTGTGGTGCTGTGGTGTCCACACTCACACCCACTGTTGGCCACTAGAAGCAGTTCTGGTGGCTTCCTGAGTCCTCTTTGGCATAACCTGGTAGCCCTTGACACTGTCCTAATCTGGTGAAGCAGGATGTTCCATGCTTATCTTCAAGGTTTCCCAGCATGCTCTGCCTTTCCTATGGCCTCACATGGTGGCTTTTCCTCTGTGTTCAGGCTCTCGCTCAGTTTTGGGTCCAAATGTTATCCTTGTGAGGGCACACATCTGGATTAGTATTCATCTTGGGGGGTTCATTTTGACTAAGTCACCCCTGAAAACCTGTCTCCAGACATAATCACACTCTAATGTACTATGGGAGTAGGCATCGGCATAAATTTTAGGGGGAGAAGTTCAGCTCATAGGTCTGGATTAACGGATAAATGTTTATCAGTCTGGCTACACATCCCCACATTTTCTTCCTTTGGGTTTGAATACATTGTTGTAGACCAGTGGGTCTCAACCTGTGGGTTGTGAACCCTTCAGTAGTCACATGACCATATCAGGGTCACATATCAGACATTTACATTACAATTCATAACAGCAGCAAATTACAGTTATGAAGTAGCAGTGAAAATAATGTTGTGCTTGGGGGTCACCACCACATGACCTGTATTAAGGGGTGGCAGCATTAGGAGGGTCGAGGACAAACTCTGTTGTAGACTCACTCCTGTGTGCAGAAGTATGTTCCTCCATCCGTTTAGCCTCACCTACAGAGTATCTTTTCTTACTTTTTAAATATTTAAGGGTGTGCTTCCGAGTGTATGCATGTGCACTGGGGCCTCCCTTTCCTCGTGGTCCGTTGGCCACCAGTCCATGAGGACAGAGGGAGCAGAGGTGACCTGCAGGGCTTCGTCCAGCTGTGAGCACGAGGGGAAGAGCCTTCCACAGTCAGCTTCAGTGAGATGGCTCAGCGTTATTTCAGGGTGAGGGGAATACAGAGGATGGGGACAGCGGCAGGGACGTCACCTAATCTGCATTTGGCAGCACGGTCCTCCCGTACAGCTGGAGCACGACACCTAGTTATCACAGGGGCGGCAGGGGAGAGTTCTGCAAGGAGCTGTGTCAAAGGTCACACAGGTAAGTCAGGCACTCAAGCTCAGGGGCAGCTTCCAAAGAAGGCCAGGCATCCGGGCCTAGCGGCACTGTCCAGATAGGGTAGAGAGAGTCCTGCTGTAAGCTCAGAAAGTAGCGGGGTCTTCCAGCAGTACACCACATGTACACAGGAGCCTTGGAAGTCGGAACAGGCATCAGATCCCCTAGAACTGGAGTTCAGATGGTTGTAGCCACCCTGTGGGTGCTGGGAATCAAACCTGGAAAAAAATGTTCTTAACAACTAAACCATCTGGAGCCCCCCTTGTCAGTTTTTTTATTTTTTGCTAATCTGAGAAATAAAAGTTTTAAATTTGAGTTTTCTTCATAAGCGAAGTTGAGCATCATAAGCTTAAGGACCATTTATTTGTTTAAACTATGTTTTCTATACATTTTACTCTAGGACTATTCTTACTTGTTTTTTATAAATTATCTGTAGATTGTTGGTGTGGGCTGTTTATCTCCAATACGTTCAAGTATTTTTTCCACCTTATCCTATGGTTTTTTTATTTTGTTTCTAGTTTAAGGTTTGTTGTTGTTTTCAGCTTCCCCCGACCCCCATGCTGGTTGCACTAGGGACCTAGCATCACATGTAAAAGTACTCCTCCACTTTTTTTACAAGCCCAACCTGCCCACACATGTTTGAATGTTTGACAGTGAGGCATGTGAATACGGGTACTCAAGGTCCCCAGATCATGAGTTTTGATAGAGCGTAAAGAAAGGAGCTGGTTAGTAAGGGGTGGCATAGTGCTGGTGGTTGTCTGTCTTGCTTGATAGAGGAGGTTAGATAATAATTTCTCCTAATCTGCATGTCCCTTCCCAAGATGCATCTGATTTTAATCATAGGTGCACCCAATTGTGCCTAGGTATCTTAGGGTTTTTATTGCTGTGAAGAGACACCGTGACCATGGCAACTCTTATAAATGAAAACATTTCACTAGGGTGGCTTACAGTTCAGAGGTTCAGTCCATTATCATCATGAAGGGAGCATCATGGGCGCAGTGTGCAGGCAGACGTGCTGGAGGAGTAGCTGAGAGTCCTGTACCTTGCAGGTATCAGGAAGTCAACTGAGACACTAGGCAGTATCCTGATCATAGGAAACCTCAAAGCCCATTCCCATAGTAACAGACTTCCTCCAACAAGGCCACACCCACTCCAACAAAACCACACCTCCTAATAGTGCCACTCCCTATGAGATTATGGGAACCAATTACATTCAAACTACCGCAATGGGTATAGGATAGTAAATAGACAGGTGACCCTAAAAGTTTACTAGGAGGATACTGTTTGCCTTACTGCACATGCAATCCAAACCAGTTCAGACCGGACTGGCCTTTCTGTCTCATACCCAGATACATCAGGAATGTATCTGAGTAGAAACTATCTGTATTTGGTTGCTTTTAGGGCTCTAGAACTCGTGCTGTAGTTCAGAGAGGGGTGCACATGTAATCAGAAGCAGGGTAGCCCAGTGCAGGTATGAGTCTGAGAGGGCTCAGGCTGCCAGGTGCCGAGTGCAGTATTAAACGAGGAGTGGGGCACATGACCAAATTAAATAAGGACCAGACTGCTTATCTGTTCTTTATGTTTACCTGTCTTTCCAGCACTTGGGCGGGAGAGACAGGAAGATCAGAAGTTCAAGATTGGGTCAGGGAGATGGCTCAGTGGATAAAGGCTCTTCCTTCCAAGCCTGATAACCTGAATTTGCTCCCCAAAGCCCACATTGTAGAAGGAGAGAATGGCTCCACACTCAAGGTGTGGTACACACACACACACACACACACACACACACACACACACACACACGCACACACCATACATACATACATATACTCACACACAGTAATTAATTAAAAATAAATTTTCAGTGTCGTGCTCAGCTACATAGTAAGTTTGAGGCAGCTTGGACTACATGAGACCACCTATGTATCAACCTGTATTGTGTTGTTTCTTAAACCTGTTGCAGATGTGGTGAGTAATGGGAAGGAAGCACTCTTAAAACCTGAGTTAGTTTTTTGGTATTTGTTTTGTCCCATTAGTAGAATTATTGTGTTTTTCTCTCGTCCTTTTTAGATCTTTCGTTTGTCCGTGCCTTTGAGTTTACATATGTCAATGTTTATGGCACTCATGTTTTGGTAAATACTGCTTATGAAGCCAGAGTGGAGAAATTTATTTATGTCAGCACAGATGAAGTATATGGAGGCAGTCTTGATCAGGTAAGCTTAGAAAGCGTATTCTGCTTACTTACTGTGTACCAGTGTAGAAGTCTGTCTTGTTCAAGTTCTGGGCTTCTCCTGTGCTCTAATTACATGCATTGTGTCGCCCTCCAAAATGTGACTACTTTCTCCTTTGTTCCTATCAAGGGATACCCCTTCACGTGAGGGACGGTTAGCAGTGGTACAGAGTCACTCAGGATCTGACTGTTCTGCAACAGCAGCAGATCTCATGTTTAGTCTCAGTCGTAAAACATGATGATGTCATTTCATGGGCTGTAGCATACCCCGCTCACCTTCTCCTCTGGGTGGGAAAACACGTTAGAATGCCAGTGATGAGTGCTGCAAAGTTGTTGTTGAAACTGGAATCTGTTCTTCTGTTGTTGATGTTTTGAAGACGCTCTCACTGGGTAGCTCAGGCTGGCCTGGAATTCCCTGTGTTACTTAACCTCACAGTCTTCCTGCCTCTGTCTCCTGAATGCTGGTGTTGTAGGGATGTGTCACTATGCCTGGCCCTGTTCATATGAAATCATTCCTAATTATTGTATTTTTTTTTTTTGACAAAAAGGTAGAACTATTCTTCAGTCCATAGTTTCCTTTCCTTGGTCCTTTCTTTGAAATACATGCTCTGTTGGGAGTCAGTAACAGGCCAGGGTCAATCTCTGTTGATGGGAAGTGAGGAACAGGCCAGGATCTAGTTCAGAGTCAATGGGAAGTGAGGAACAACAGTCTAGGGGTCTTGCTCAGTGTTAAGTACTTACTCAGTGTGTGTGAAATCCTGTGTTTGATCCTAAGCAGGATATGAAAGCAAAAGCCTCAGAATAAACAAATATCTATACTGTTGGGTACAATGGCCCTGAAATTTAGAGGGTACCAGAGAGAAGCCTCAAAAAAAAAATCTGTGCAGGTAATAGTTATTGGATGCTTACTTCTAAAAGTTATTAATGATTAAGGTCATTTCTATACAGTTAACATTTTAATGTAGTTGTGTGATCTTGTACAGATTGAGAGAATAATGGCAGTCAAAAATTAAATTTAGGTAGAGAAGAGTACAGTTGCTCATACTTCTGAAGTTTTATTATCTTCAAATCACTAGCTTGGTTGGTATATAAGCACCCAACTGTTACCCAGTAAAACTACAGATTTCCTTATATATTTTTATGAGAATTAAAACAAAAATTGGTGTATGTCATTTTAAAAAGGGCTCCCAAACACTTCTAATGTGTGGACATTTGGTATGGTATTAGCCAGCAGCTGGTTTCTACTTCTAGAAGATCTTCACACTTGTGTTTTGATAGAAGCATTCAACAATGTCTGGGTGGTACATAGAGAAGGTCCTAATATTCTAGTCCCAAGTCCTTCCACTTAGGAGAATTAAGTTATTTACTGACTCCATAAAATAAGGGATGATGCACAAACTTCATTACCATCTATCCTTTTGTCTGGCGCCAATTTTGTGGTTAGCTCTACTGTATAGGCTCTTCTGACCATGATTTTTATAACTAAATAATCACATGATTTTGCTCAGTGGTGAGCTTCAGAATGTTGCAACAGTGATTGTCAACAGCTATACCAAGATTTCCTAAGAGAATGTTTATTCACCCAAGATAGTTGCAAAACATTTTAGCCAGGCCTGGTAGCATACACCTGGTGACACAGGTCTGTAATCTGAGCTCTGAAGGAGGATGAAATAGGAGGACCCCAAGTTAAGACCTAGCCTGGGTAACTTAGTGACACTTTGTCTCAAAAGCATAAATGTAAGGCTGGAAAGATGGCTTTATTGCTCTTACAGAGGACCCTGGCTTGGCTCCTAGTACCCATGTGGTTGCTTACAATCATGTGTAACTCCAGGTCCTGGAGATCTAATGCCCTTACGTGGTTTCCATGGGTTCCTATATATATGTGGTGCACAGAAACTCATGTACACACACATACATATAAAAATAATAAATAAATCTTTAAAAATATTTAAAATAGTTGAGACTATAGGTGTGATATAATACGGCCTCCAGCCAGTTCGGTAACTGCATTTCCTATTTCTTCTCCCCTACACTAGACTTGAAGAACCTTTACACTTAACTCTTCCCGTGACTAGAATTCAAGAGGTTTCTGTGTTGGTTTGGCTTTTGTTTGACTGTTTTTGAGACAGGGTTTCAATTCTTGATTCCATTCCTCCACCTCTCAAGTGCTGGGATTACAGATGTGTACCACCAGAGCAAGAAATGCTTTCTTAGATTGACATTTCAAACTAGTAGTATGGTTATATATTAATGTGCACTCACATGTGTGTGTGTGCTGGGATTGAACCCAGGTTCTTGTGAATTTGACACAGACTACTGTTAAGCCACACACTTAGACCTTGTAATATGTTTTCTACTTAATTACTTATGTAATTCAAATGTATCCTTTTAAAACTAGGAGTTTGATGAATCATCACCCAAACAACCTACAAACCCTTATGCTTCATCTAAGGCCGCCGCTGAGTGTTTTGTACAGTCTTATTGGGAACGATACAAGGTAAAAGCTGATTTCTGAAACTATTTGCTAATACTTATTTATTGTGCGTGTGAGTGAATGTATGTATGTGTTCTATGATATGAGTGTGGTGGTCAGAGGTCATCTTAGGGAAGCACTTTCGTCCTTCCACCATGTGGGTTCAGGCATTGAGTAGGTCATCAAGCTTCGTAGCAAGTACTTTTTCCATCTCACCAGACCTGATTTCTGAAACTCTGAAGCCATTTACTGTGGACTTAAGTTTTGAAATTCTAAGTTAGCTTTGACATAGAAAACCTAGCTAAAAACTTAGTAAGGGCATATAAGTATTGAAATCTTATATTGCATGGGCAGCGAAGGCCCTGCCTGCTCTTGTTCAGTTCCTCATGAAAGCGTGAACCTGAAACATATTTAGTCTTATTTCAGTAACAGAACATTACAGGTCTAGCGAGATGTTCATGGAAATCCTACAAGGTGGAGGGATGACAGATTCCTTTCCCAGCAGTTGCTTTTCTCTGTGTGAGTCAGCAGTCTGGCTCCATATGAGGCACACTTGAAGACTTGTTTCTAGTGGCTCTGACAGTGGTATTCTGGGAGTTTAATCAAAACAAGTGTTATCAGCTCCAGTGCCATGTATTGGCTTCCCACTGGCAAGCCAAGAAATTCCTTGGTGTTCTCTTGCTTTTTGTGGTGATCCTTTTTACTTGTAAGGGTTGATTCAATGGAGAGAGTCAACTTGATGTCTACCATTTTACCATCTAATTAAATGTAGACTGCTGGAAGCCATCTTGGAAATGGTTATGTGGAGTGCCTCAGTGTTTAGCCCGACTCTGTGCCTCCCTCTGTGTCCATCTCCCCACTGGACCTCTGCTTTTATCTGAGCCCTATCCTCCCCTGTGTTTTTTCAAGATATGATCTTACTATGTGGTCCTAGATGGCCTGGAATTTACTATGTAGACCATGCTGGTCTCAAACTCAAAGAGATCCCCCTGCCTCTGCCTCCTGACTTCCAGTATTAAAAGCATGCACCACCAGGCCTGACTTAAAAAAACAACAACAGAAAACTCACTACATAGCTCAGGCTGGATCTTGAACTAGAAATCCTCCTGCGTTAGCCTCGTGGGTGTCAGGATTACGAGTGTGAGCTCGGACAGGCTCTTCACTGTGCTGACAGTGTGTCAGGTAGGCACCAGTGTTAGGAAGCTGTGTGTTTTAAACTAACCCTACTTGTTGGCCCTTCCCTTCATTGATCTTGAATGTTCACTCTAAGTTTCCAGTTGTCATCACCAGAAGCAGTAATGTTTATGGACCACATCAGTATCCAGAAAAGGTAAACTCTGTTTCTAAATTATCTCCAGCAGTTATTTGTCTGAACTAATTTATGTTCTAATTGTGCATAATTAACATGCTCTGTGGGGGTTGCACACGAGCTCTTCAGAATCCGAGTTTGGAGATTTCACTCAAAGTGTCAACTTGACACATTCCAGCTGGCGTGCCTTTGGGTCCTTTAACCATTGTCTTTAAATTGGGGGATGCAATGAAAAGACAGCACTTTTAGGATGTGTGTGGATAGGCACTGTCTCCCTTGCATTCTGAAGCACCATCTAGCACTCCCAATACTGCCCAACGTAGCAGTTAAGACTGGTCTGCAGTTGTGTCATGAAATATAAAAGTTAGAATCTAGCTAGGCAAAGATGTACAAGTGTGGACTTACTGAGTGGGCGCTTATATGTGAGTGATAAATGATATGTGATGCCTGCCTTTATGAAAGAAATCTCCAAAGAGGTGGCGTATAATTCCCACTATACTTCCTTTTCATCATCAGGTTTTCATGAAATCACAAACTACCTTAGAGTTCTTTTATTTATCAAAGGTCATGAATTTAAGTTAATCTTATGAGTTTAAATTCATATTAATGTCATTTTCAAAGTCTGAAATGACATTTACATATTCTTCTAGGTTATTCCAAAATTTATATCTTTGCTCCAACACGACAGGAAATGGTATGTCCTTCTTACTTTCACATTCCTCTGCTGTCTGCTGTGCTGATAGTGTTCAGTAGCCATCTTTGAGAGCCGTCAGGTCTTACCGAGGCATGGATCTGAACATTCTGCCAGCTTAGGCATGCTTTCTCCATTTAATGGGATAGTTTTTTAGTAACTGCATCTTCATGACTTAGTAAGGTAAATTCTGAAATTATCTGCCATGGAACTTAGAGCTACAAAGTAAAATTCATATCTGTGTATAATTTTAGATTTCCAAATGGTTAATTTAATATAGAAATGTAGATTTTCTTTTCTTTTTTTTTCCATTATTTTTAGGTTCTAGGACTTGAAAGCAGGCCTTGCTGCCCATTCTAGGCAAGCACTCTGATAACAAGCTGTAGCCTCACCCGTCCCAGCCCTGTGATTTCCTTATTGTTGACTTTTTAACTTTTTGAAGTTGCTCAGACTGGCCTTGAACTTGGAATCCTTTTGCCTCAGTTTCCCAAGTGGCTGGAGTTATAGTCCTGTATAACCCCACCCAACTTAGGTAATTCTTCAAAATTAATTTATGGTATAAAATTAACAAATATTTATTCAGGAGCCATATTTTCCACTTTTAAAATTAAGAATCCTCAAGAAGTTTGGGTATCATTTAAGAAATGAGGAAGAAATGTTAAGGGAACTGATATTTTTCAGTCACAGATTTCTAGGGCCTCTGGAAATTGGCTTCTCAGGAATCACACTGGTCACTGCTCATGCCTAGTTTGGAAGCTTCTTTTCTGCACTTTATAATCCTGCTTTATTTAATCCGTTTAGCTGTATTCATGGATCAGGGCTTCAGAGAAGAAACTTCCTTTATGCTGCTGATGTAGTGGAAGCATTTCTCACCGTCCTCAAAAAGGGAGAACCAGGGGAAATCTATAACATTGGGACCAACTTTGAAATGTCAGTCGTTCAGCTTGCGAAAGAACTAATACAGCTGGTACGTGTGGATCTGCTCAGGGAAGGTATTTATGAATTGTCACCAAATTAGTGGCAGTAATGAAGAATAACTCACTATGTGTGTTAGTTGCTGTGATGAAATACCATGACCACAAGCAAGTTAAGGAAAAAGTTAATTTCAGTTTCGATCTTGAGGGATAGTGTCCGTAATGGTGCTGGTGGGGTGCCGGCAACAAAGCTGGGAGGCAAGAGTGGGAAGCTGGTTAGATCATTGCACCCATCCTCACCCAGGAAGCAGGGAAAGCGCAGGAAGTGGGGTGAGGCTGCAGCGCCGCAAAGCCCGCCCCCGCGATAGACTCTCTCTGGCAAAGCCCTGCTTGCTAAGGTGCCTCTAGCATCCCCAAGCAGCACCACCAGTGGAGAGCCAAGGGTTCAGATACTCCAGCCAAGGGGGAATTCTCATGCAAACCACCACTGAATCAACAGTTTACCATTTCCTTAACTTAGAAATGAACAGAGGGGAAAATAAACTCATAATCGTGCACCGTGTGTCTTGGTGTGACATAGCATTAGTTCTTCAGGGAGAGAATATCAGTGTGCATCCTCTAGCCGGAGACACACACAGCTTCAGAAACAGGAGCTCCAGGGAAGCAGGAAGTGACTGTGAGGCCCGGGTGAACTGCTCATCGCAGGCTTCAGGGTGCTCCCTGTGGTTTATGTAGAGCTCGTTCTTGGTGAGCTCTGGGTGGAGTGGGGTTGTAAGGATAGAAAGGATTCTGGCCGCCCTCTTCCTCCCTTCCCGTCGTGGGGCAGTTGTCTTTCTTGTCTGCTTCTATCAGCTAGTAAATACAACTGTTGCTCTGTGGTCTCTTTGTAATGTGGCTCAGAAGCTTGCTTCATTTTGACAGATCAAAGAGACCAATTCCGAGTCTGAAACGGAAAGGTGGGTGGACTACGTTAATGACAGGTGAGTAACAAGTTGGAACATCTGGAGAAGATGGTGAAGTTTTAGGTGCTTATAAAACTAGAAGCTATATGAACTTACCGGAAAAGTAGTTTAACTCATGAATTTCCTGACAAATTTTTCTTCCTAATTATAGTGTTACAGAGATTAAGGTAGCACTGTTATTAGCCACGGGCTTATTGACTCTCTCCCCGTGTGGGGTTTTCTCCATCGTGAAACGGGCGATTATCTTCTCACAGAAGTGTTCTGAGGGTTGGTTATATTGCAGACAATGCTTCTTGCCCCAGGCATGGCACTCAGGAATCCTCACTTACTTGTACCTGTGTGATTTATTTATTCATTTGTCAAACATTTGCTAATTTTCTTATATATGTCAGACACTTCATTTGTACCTAAATTGTGGCTGAAATAAATAAGCTATTGAAAGGGTAGTCTATAGAGAATGTTAGGCATTGGTAATTATGGGTTTTATATATTTTTCCACAATAAGCATGTCCCCAGCATGATTTTGTTCTAATGTGGATTGTGATAAAGATGTGTGTGTGTGCATTCTGTCTCTTAGTCAGATGTACAAGTGTGTGTTCACAATACAGGTATGTGTGTGTGCATTCTGTCTCCTTAGTCAGATGTACATATGTGTGTTCACAATTAAGTTGTATAAGTGCATTCTGTCTCCTTAGTCAGATGTGCAAGTGTGTGTTCACAATAAATGTGTGTGTGTACATTTTGTATCTTAGATGTGCAAATGTATAATCACAATAAAGATGTAGAAGTGCATTCTGTATCTTAGATGTGCAGATGTATGTTCACAATGTCATCTTAAATCTTTGCTTTGCAAGACCTCACAATGACATGAGATATCCAATGAAGTCTGAAAAAATTCACAGTTTAGGATGGAAGCCCAAAGTGCCTTGGGAAGAAGGAATAAAGAAAACAGGTACGTGGTACCAAGTCGGTCATTTGGGGAGCAGTGCAGACCAGTGACAGGAAGGTAGTTCATTTCAAAACACTAGAGGTCTGCAGAGCCGTGAGGAACCGTCTGCAGCCCGAGCAGCTGTTCATTTCACTCCTAACAGTCGTCGTTTTCTGAGCATCTGGAGTTGAATGGACTTCGCTTCTCACTGCTCCTCCTGAGTCTTCTCCGTTCCTCGGATGCTTACTTGGTCCGATGCCGGGTGCTCACTTCTCCTTTCCTTTGTCTTCTTGAAAGGCGTGTTTGTCATCGCTCATGCCTTGTAGTGCAGCTTTCTCCTTTCTCTGTGGTCCAGAATAGTGGTGCATGTTAAGATCAGTGGGGTCTCAGCTCTGAAGAAAACTGAAAACTAGTAAAAGAAGAATCACTGTGTGTGTGTGTGTGTGTGTGTAAAGCTCTTTGGACCCTGGGTGGTGGCGTGTCCAGTTGGGCTGCCTAGTGAAACTCTGTCTCAAAAGGCGGAACAAAATGGCAACAAAAATCTATTTGGAATTGTGTTTGTAGGAAAGAATCTGCTCAACTGTATAAGAACAGGTCTTGATCAAAACTTTAAATACAAAATACTTTGTTCAAGTATGAAAAGCCAAAAGCAAAGGTAGCTTCCATTCTTAACTAGACTTAGGCTTCTTAGTGCAAAGTCTTGAGCTAATAGTGCACACCATAAACTGACCTCACCTCTTCATAGAGAGACCCTTCATCTCATGTTGCCTGATCCTGTATCACCGTGTTTAGATGAATAAGTATCTTCTTCTTGTGAAGTAGCTTTAAAGGCAGCGTACATGCCTGTTGCCTCACCTGGGACTGCTGAAATCCGAATGTCTTCAGCATTCCCACAGGTCAGTGCTGCAGGGACTGCCTTTGCATTGGACAGAAGGCAACAGCTCCTCACTGTTTCCAGGGCTTTTCAGGCGATGAGCCCCGCTGTGAGACTCTGCTGACGTAGCAGGGACTCAGGAAATGCTGCTTATTTGAGGCATAGTTTTTACTTTTTCATTGTCTTTTGATTTTCCTGCCAGTTGAGTGGTACCGAGAGAATTTTCACAACTGGAAGAATGCAGAAAAGGCATTAGAGCCCTTTCCAGTTCAGCCACCATTTATATAATGCCAGTCGCAGAGAAGAGGACATTATCCTACCTCAACAAGTGACCTGAAATCAAGTGCCTAAATGAAGTGCCAGCCTCTCACTCTGAGTGGGAGGGATGCTCCGGTATTGGATTCAGATGCAGTCTTCAGAAGTTTCAGTATTGGTCCAGGATTCCATGTGAGATTCCCTCAGCAAACTTCTCCGACAAGTCCCATGGTGGTCCAGCAGAAGCAGTGGATGTGGGCAGGATGAGGCCCCTGGTTCTGAGAACAGAGGCAGGTGGAAGCACTGGATGGACCTCTGTTGGCTCCCCAGCCTTTGCCAGCACCTGATTGTCTCAGGTTTTATGTCCTGACTAATTTTTAAGGTCTGATGATGTGAAAATGGAACAAAATGGAAGCATATTGAACACTTTTTAACTTTTGATAATTTCTTAAAATTAACTTAGATGGTTCTTAAAGGTAAGATGTAAATTTCTTACATTTTTGAAATCAGCTGTTGATTTATATATAACTGGTATCAGAAATTTGATCATGTATCTACTGTTTACAATGGTTTTATTTATAAAAGTATCAATGTATTTTAATATATTAAATACAGATTGTGGCTTTCTTAGTGATATATTTTTATTTGTTGTAATTTTTTTTAAAACAATAATATATTTTTTAAGCTCTTTGCCCTAAAGATTTCAAGGTAATTTAAAGTAAATAAGCTGATATTGGGTGGACACAGGTAGAGGTTGCTCTGTCATGGATGCAGATTTCATCCCACCAACCAGTGAGAACCTGTCTTAAAGAGAAAGGATCAGAGATGGCTCAGCAGACCAGGCCACCTGCCACTTCACCCGACAGCCTGACCTGAGCCCCAGAACTGATTCCCATGACTTGTCTTCTGACCTCCACACCATAACCAACATGCAACAGCCTCCAAAACTGACTCATGAAAAAGCTGTGCTTGGCAGCTCCCATCTGTAATCCTGCTATTTAAGAGCTGAGGCAGCCTGGACTCCATAGTGAGACTTGCTTCATGACCACACTGTAGCTAGAGTTTTCCTGCTTGGCCCACAGTCAGGACAAATCTCTGTCACCCACCAGTCCCACAGCCGCTCAGACCCAACCAAGTAAACACAGAGACTTGTATTGCTTACAAACTGTATGGCCGTGGCAGGCTTCTTGTTAACTGTTCTTATATCTTAAAGTAACCCATTTCTACAAATCTATACCTTGCCACGTGGCTCGTGGCTTACCAGCATCTTCACATGCTGCTTGTCCTGGCAGTGGCTGGCAGCGTCTCCTTCTGCCTTCCTGTTCTTTTATTTCTCCTCTGTTAGTCCTGCCTATACTTCCTGCATAGCCACAGCCGATCAGGTTTTATTTATTGATCAATCAGAACAACTTGACATACAGACCATCCCCCAGCACAGCCAAGTGCAGACCATCTCAGATACCTGCACTCAGGCCCATGGTCCTAATCATCCTCTATGCGGGCCTGCTGGGTAACGCCACAAAGAACCCAAGAAGGGCTCCCACAGGACATACAGAACATCCCACAGCACAACACTATAACAAGTAAATGCCCACTTGACCCTCAGTTAGGAAGCATTCCTGCATGTTGTATACGGTCCCCGCCCCCCACCCCCATGCCAGGAGGTCCTGTGTGCGCCTTTCCCCTTCGGTTCCTCTGTTTTCACCCGAGGGAGCAGGTGTGGAGCCAGAGCAGTGCCAGTGCGGATGAGGGGACGTGAAAGTGGACAGACGGTGCTGGCCAGGGCTCTAGGCAGGAAGGCAGCCTCATGGGAAAAGCATCCACTGTCTCTCAGGCCAGCTTGCCACCAGGTAACAAATCTGCTCGAGTAGTGCCGCCCTGGGAGCTCAGCATTTGTGTCTGATGCCGAAGACGGGATGTTCCCAGGGTTAACTCCCTGGGAAGTGGGAATCTGTGCTGCGGGTCCCAGGACTAGGTTCCTGCTCTCATTTATGCCTGGTCCATGCAGACACCCAGTGGGGTCATACCGAGGTCACTAGTGACAAAGCCTGGGCAAAGTTAAAAGCAAGTCGTTTTGTCTTCTGGAATCAGCGCCTCTTCCATAGTGCTTGCTTCCTAGTGAGCACGGACAAAGATACACAGGTCCGCACTCTGCCACCAAGCCTCGGGCAGCTTTCTGCCCACGACTGAGTATGTCATTCCGAGGCCGGACACTTCCAGATGTAAATGCTAGGCAAGGCACAGTGCTTAAATCACTGTCCTGTGATTTCCCTTTGTCTATTTTTAATTATATTTGTTTATTTTGTGGTAAAGGCTTGTATGCCATGGTGCATGTGGGGAGATCAGAGGACAGCTGGGAATTCTTTCCTGTCATGTGGGTCCTGGGACTGAACTCAGGACAGATTGAGGGCAAGTGCCTTAACCTAGTGGGCCATCTCACCCTCCCCTCTTCTGCTTTTTATCCTTGGTTTTTGTTGTTTTTTGAGACAGGGTTTGTCTGTGTAGCAGCCCTGCCTGTCCTGGAACTTGCTCTGTAGATCAGACTGGCCTCGAACTCACAGACATCCGCCTGCCCCTGCCTCCCGAGTTGCTGGGATTAAAGGCGTGCGATGCTGCTGCTGCTGCTGCTGCCGCCGCCACCACCACCAGCACCCAGCTTTCATGCTTGTTTTAAGGTCACTCTTACATGGCGTAAATACAGCTGCTGTCTGCTTTTCACTTGCTCTCACGCAGCAGCTCGCTTCTATAACCAAGGTGGGCTTTCCCCTCCCTCCCTCCCTCTGCCTGGCCGCATGGTGTGTGCGGAGAGCGGTGCACTGGGCAGCTGGCCGGCCTGCCTTTGTGGTTAAGCACTCGGTGGTACCCAGGCTCCAGCTCAGATGTCCATTTCCATCCTGCCTTAGTGGACTGCTCCTGACAGTGAGTGTGCACATTGGTTATCGGGGGCTTCCATCACATGGATCACTGAATAAATGTCTTCAGCAATAAATTTATTTTCTCACCATCTTGAGGCAAGCAATCTAAGGTCAAGATCAATGTGTCAGAATTGGTGTATGAGGCCTCTCTCCTTGGGTTTGTAGGTTTCTGTCTTCTCTGTGTCCTTCCATGGTCCCTGCCCTCTCATATCTGTGATTAATTCTCCTTTTATGGTTTTCCTAAGGCAGAGAAATAGAGGAGGACAGCCAGTGTCTTCTGGCCTTCCCAAGCACATGCACAAGCATGGGAAGTGCCCTGCCTGCCATGGCGCGATGCTTGCAGCTTACCCTGCCAACAAGACCGCTTTTAAAGTCGATATAATCAGCCTTATAGATCCCAGTCTCTTGTTTTAAAGGTCACATGCATGTGTTGCAGAAATTGAAGATTAAGTTAAAAAAAAAAAAAAGCCATCTTGTGGTGGTATTGTGTTCCCCAAAATATTGTGCACCCTAATAAACTTATCTGGGGTCAGAGACAGAACAGCCACTAGATACAAAGGCTAGAAAATGGTGGCACTCACACCTTTAATCCTAGCATTCCAGAGGCAGAAATCCCTCTGGATCTTTGTGAGTTCAAGGCCACATTGGAAATGGCCAGGCATGGTAACACGTCTTTAATCCCAGGGAGTGATGGTAGATGGCAGAAAGATATATAAGGCGAGAGGACCAGAAACTAGAAGCATTTTGGCCTGGTTAAGCATTTGGCTGGTTAAGCTTTCAGGCTTTTGAGCAACACAGTTTAGCTGAGATTCATTCTGGATGAGGACTCAGAGGCTTCCAGTCTGAGGAACCAGGATCAGTTGAGGAACTGCCGAGATGAGGTAGCTGTGGCTTGTTCTAGTTCTCTGATCTACCAGTTCACCCCAATACCTGGCTCAGGGTTGATTTTATTAATAAGAACTTTTAAGATTCCTGCTAGACCATCTTACCACTGGAAGACCACTTGTTAATATTTTGATGTATGGTCTTGTTTGGTGCATATACACATAATTGGTTAAAACCAAATGTGGGATTATCATGGACACACTATTGGGAGCTTGCTTCTTTTCTACTGACAGTATTTCATGGGTACTTTGATATGGGATCTTTTGCCATTTTTAATGACTGTAGAATTATGTTTGATAGTTCATTCTGGAAACAGTATGGAAGGCGAGTCTAAGGATGTCAGGACTGAGCTCCCAACGGCATCCGGCTTAGGAAGCTGTGCGGTAAATCAGGCTGTTGACACTCAGGCCCGAAGCACAGCCCTGCACACAGGTAGAGCTGGTGACAGACTGGAGAGCTTGTGGGTTACAAACTCACTGGTGAGCGGCAGGCGGTAGAGCTGTTGCTGGACTTGGTGGCATCTTAAGGCTTAGAATGTGGGGCTGGAATGGGAGTTTAGGAGTTGGGGCTTTAACACAGGGCCAGTCACATACATGAATGTGTAGATCACGTTGGTGGGCTCGAGATCTAGAAAAACATATTTTGGGGCTAAATGGCTGTTAACACCTGAGAGTGGGACCTGGTGGTGAAGGGACCTTTAAGAGCTAAGGCCAAGTAGGTAATCAGTGGATGCAACCTTTGGTAGGGATTAATTTAACTTTCCCAGAAACCTGGTTTGTGGTCTAATAAATAAAGCTTACCTGGAGATCAGAGGGCAGAGCCAGCCACTAGTTAGCCAGAGAGGCCAGGCAGTGGTGGTACACACCTTTAATCCCAGCACTTGGGAGGAGGAAACAGGAAGTGATATGGCTGGGTGGAGAGAGGAAGTGATAAGGTGGGGTGGAGACAGGGTTCACCCCTTTTGGTCTGAGGATTCAAAAGAGGTAAGTCTCACTAGTAGCTGGCTCCCTTACTTCTCTGATCTTCTAGCATTTACCCCTATATCTGACTCTAAGGTGTTCATTATTAAGACCAATTAGAATTCAAGCTACATGCCACATCACAGGCATCGGGCCAGTTCTCTCCTTGGAGGGTTCCAGGGATTAAATTCAGGTCACCAGGCTTGGTGACAAGTTCTGTTACCTTCTGGGCCATCTCACCAGCTCCATACTTTTGATGACATCTCTCATGAGGGTCTATTGCGGGATGATAATCTTTTTGTATGCTGTGAAGAGGTATCTCCGCCAAGGCACCTTCTGATTGGTTTAAATAAGAGCTGGATGGACAATGGCTAGGCAGGGGAGGATAGGCGGGACTTCTGGAAAGAGATAGGAACTCTGAGACACAGAGACAGTGGGACATACAGTATGAAGGAGAGTTAACAAGCCACGCACCACGTGGCAGAATGTACATTAATATAAACGGATTAATTTAAGTTTTAAGAGCTAGTTGGGAATAAGCCTAAGCTAATGCCAAGCTTTCATATTTAATAATCAGTCTCTGTGTCATTATTTGGGAGCTGATGGTCCAAAGAAAGACCAACTACAAGGGCCTTACCAAAGGCCCGAATGATGGGGTCACCCAATCTTGGATGTTTAGAACTTTCCGAAGGTTACCCAGCCACAGCTAGTCTATGCTACAGCAACAGAAAACAGACTAATAAGGCCTTGCCTGCATATGTAGAGGTTCTATCTTTTTCATGTGTTTATGGGTTTGCTCTTCCTGCTAGACTTGTAGCCCCTGGGAGTGGAATCATCTCTGAATTTATGGACCTGTATGTCATAGTATTTTTTTCTGAGAAATAA